TGCCCAGGCTGGAGTATAATGGCATGATCTCAGCTCATGGCAACCTCCACCTCCTGGGTTCAAGTGATTCTCCTGCCTCAGCCTCCTGAGTAGCTGGGATTACAGGCATGCACCACCACGCCTGGCTAATTTTGTATTTTTAGTAGCAACAGGGTTTCTCCATGTTGGTGAGACTGGTCTTGAACTCCTGACCTGAGGTGGTCTGCCCCCCTTAGCCTCCCAGAGTGCTGATATTACAGGCATGAGCCACCGCGCCCAGCCTAATTTTTGTATTTTTAGAAATCCAGAGATGGATTTCACTGTGTTGGCCAGGCTGGTCTCGAACTACTGACCTCAGGTGATCCGCCTGCCGTGGCCTCCCAAAGTGCTGGGATTACAGGTATGAGCCATCAAGCCTGGTCCCCATGGGGTTTTCATTTATGGATGTGAGTGAGTGATCCCAGGGACAGGCCAATGACACTGAAATAAGATATTTTCCTTTTTTTTTTTTTTTTTTTATTTCCAGAACCCCTTAGAGAACTTGAAATTAATGAAAGAAGATATTTATTCCTTACATTTCCCTAAGGAGGGTGCACAGCACATAACACAGGGCCACGTGGTGAAGCACCAGATTTGGTCAGGAGGAAAACTGGTGTGAGGGGAAAGTTTAGTTTAGCTCAGAGACGCTATTGGGGTTTCCATGGGAAACAAGGCAGGGCTGGGTGACAGGATAGTTTGGCTAGTTTAAGTAATTCCAGGACACCTGGGCTACTGGGACTGTCCCTAGTTGTGCAGTACCTGTCCCTGAGTTGATTTAGATCACAGGAAATACTGGCTTGGTTTGAGAAAGTTAGAGATGGAGGTGGTTCAGAATATGTGCCCAGAGTGGTAGGGGAGATGGAAACACATTTTGCTTTTAGTTTGGCCCTGTGTTTAATGGATGGTAAATATAAGTAGGAAATTGAGAACTTAAGTAAATACAGCTTGAAAAAATGCTGCTCACGTATTCATCTTTCCCAATTTGGCAGGACCATGTGGTTTTTGAGGATGTGGTCATATATTTCTCCCAGGAGGAGTGGGGGCACCTTGATGAGGCTCAGAGATTGCTGTACCGCGATGTGATGCTGGAGAATTTAGCCCTTTTGTCCTCACTAGGTAAGGCCCTCACACTTGCCCAGTGTCCAGGTTGGGTTGGGTTATCCCTTTTTACCCAAAGGCAGCTCTGCATTTCCCACAGTGAGACCGTGGGTGCTGCTGCTTTTCCTTGTTTCATGTCATGTATTCTATGAGAGTCAGGACTGGGTTGTGTGCTCTGTGCTCCTGTTTTCCTAGCAGCCCCATCCCCTGTTGCTCTGAGGCTTGCAAGAAAGGGCTCAGGATCCAGAAATGTTGAATCTGATGTAGAGACCCATCGGCTCTGTGTTCTAGTCAAATGGGTGGGACCTCTGTGCTTTGCCGTTTCCTTGCTCTTGCTTGTATTTCTTGGTGCCTTCTTGTTCTTGGAATTTCAGGTATTGACCTGATCTAATTTGGTGAACCACTGGCTTGATTGTGCAGGATGTAGAAATCTTCTGTGAAGTTCTGATGATTATAGAATGTGGAATATCACTGGGTCAATCTCTCTGGGCATGTGCTGTCTCATCTCTTTCTGTGTCTTTCCCCTAGGACTGGTCTCTTCCAGGTCCCACAGATTGTCACCTTAAGCAATGGGGAGGGCCCTGGGCACCCAAGAGGGTGGATGTTACTCCCTGAAGGGCTGTAGCAGCTCAGAGGAACATGATCCTGGTTCCTTGGAGTTGGAAAAAGGTATGATGTCACAGCTGGAGTCATATCACACTAGGAACCTGTCCTCTTGACCCCTGTTGTTTAGTTCAAGACCAGTTGCCACAACTCACTCTTCTTTTCCTTCCCCCATTGTCAATTCTACTCTGACTTCTAATCCCTGGCTTCCATCTGTTACCCATTCTCTTTGACTGCTCCCTTTGCAGTGCCCTCCAGTGCATGACCTGTACCTAAGGTGTTGTGAGGTCTGCATGTATTTGTCAGTAGTCCTTGAACACCAGCTCCTTTGTCACAATCAGATCTCTGGGTTTAGACACAGCCTTCTACACACTGCTCACTAGTCACCAGCAGCCATGGCCTATGGAGAGCCATTTTCAGAGAAGTAACTTGGACACTCTCCTCCTCTCTGCATAGTACCCGTCTCTTGTGTTCTTACCCATCATCAGGGCTCTCCCAACATGGGTATTTGCCAGGCCCAACTCTGCACAGCAGACCTCTTCTCATTGGCTTTAGTGTTTATATTATTTCATTCTCACTCTGCTATTAGGAAATACCCAAAACTGGGTAATTTCTAAAGCAAAAAAGTTTAATTGACTCACAGTTCCACATTGCTGGGAGGCCTCAGGAAAGTTATGACCATGGCAGAAGGCAAAGGAGAAGCAGGCAAGATGCCCTTCTTCACAGGGCGGCAAGACGAATGAGTCCAAGCAGGGAAAATGCCAGACATGTAAGACCAACAAATTTCATGAGAATTTACTCAGTATCATGAGAGCAGTATGGGGGAAACTGTTCCCATGATTCAATAATGTCCACCTTGTCCCACCCTTGACATGTGGGGATTATGGGGATTACAATTCAAGATGGGATTTGGGTGGGGATACAAAGCCTAACCATATTTTTCCACCCTGACACCTCCCAAATTTTATGTCCCTTTCACATTTCAGAACCAATCATGCCTTCCCAACAGTCTCCCAATGTCTTAATTCATTCCAGCATTAACCCAAAAGTCCAGGTCCAAAGTCTGATCTGAGACAAGGCAAGTCCCTTACGCCTATGAGCCTGTAAAATCAAAAGCAAGTTAGCTACTTCCAGGATATAATGGGGATACAGGCATTGGATAAATGTAGCCCTTGCTAATGGGAGAAATTGACCAAAACAAAGCCTACAGGCCCTATGCAAGTCCAAAACCCAGCGAGGCAGTCATTAAATCTTAATGCTCTGAAATGATATCCTTTGTATCCTTTGACTCCATGTTTCACATATGGGGCACATTGATGCAATAGGTGGGCTCCTATAGTCTTGGGCAGCTCTGCCCCTGTGGCTTTGCTTTGAGAGGGGGTATAGATCCCCTCTCAGCTGCTTTCATGGGCTGGCATTGAGTGTCTCCGGCTTTTTCAGGCATGCAGTGTAGGCTCTTTGTGGATCTACTATTCTGGGGGCTGGAGGACGGTGGCCCTCTTCTCACAGCTCCACTAGGCAGTGCCACAGTAGGGACTCTGTGTGGGGGCTCTAACCCCAGATTTCCCTTCCTACAGTGCCCTAACAGAGACTTTCCATGAATTCCACACCTGAAGCAAATCTCTTCCTGGACATCAGGCATTTCCATACATCTCTGAAATGTAGGTAGAAGTTCCTTCCCAAACTTTAATTCTTGACTTCTGTGCCCCCACAGGCCCAACGCCATGTGTAAGCCACCAGGACTTGGGGGTTACACCCTCTGAAGCAATGGCTGAAGCTGTATCTTGCCCCTTTTAGCCATGGCTGGAGCTGAAGCAGCTGGGACACAGGGTACCATGTCCAGAGGCTGCACAGAGAAGGGGGACCCAGAGCCAGCAGCTGGGATGCAGGGCTCCATGTCCTGAGGCTATACTGAGCCAGGGAGACCCTGGGCTGAGCCCACAAAACCGTTTTTCCCTCCTAAGCCTCTGAGCCTGTGATGGAAGGGGCTGCTAGGAAGGTTTCTGACAGGCCCTGGAGATATTTTCCCCATCATGTTGGTGATTAACATTTGGTTCCTCGTTACTTACGCAAATTTCTGCAGCAATCTTGAATTTCTCCTTAGAAAATGAGTTCTTCTTTTCTATTGCATAGTCAGGCTGCAAATTTTCCAGAATTTTATGCTCTTCTTCCTCTTGAACACTTTGCCGCTTAGACATTTCTTCTGCCAGATACCCTAAATCATCTTTCTCAAGTTCAAAGTTCCACAGATATCCAGGACAGGGGCAACATGCTGCCAGCCTCTTTGCTAAAGCATAGCAAGAGTCACCTTTACTCCAGTTCCCAACAAGTTCCTCATCTCCCTCTGAGACCACCACAGCCTGGACTTCACTGCCCATATCACTAAGTCAGCATTTTGATCAAAGCTATCCATCAAGTCTCTAGGAAGTTCCAAACTTCCCCACATTTCCTGTCTTCTTCTGAGCCCTCCAAACTGTTCCAACCTCTGTCTGTTACCCAGTTCCAAAGTCACTTCCACATTTTGGGGTATCCTTAGAGCAGTATCCCACTACCTCAGTTCCAGTTTACTGTATTTGTCCATTCTTACACTGCTATTAAGAAATACCTCAGCTGGGCACAGATTACCTGAGGTCAGGAATTCAAGACCAGCCTGCCCAACATGGTGCGACCCCGTCTCTCCTAAAAATACAAAAATTAGCTGGGCGTGGTGGCAGGTGCCTGTAATCCCAGCTACTTGGGAGGGTGAAGCAGGAGAATCACTCAAATCCAGGAAACGGAGGTTGCAGTGAACTGAGATTGTACCACTGCATCCCACCCTGGGTGGCAGAGCAAAACTCTGTCTGAAAAAAAGAAACACCTGAGACTTGGCCAGGCTTGGTGACTCACACCTATAACCCCAGCACTTTGGGAGGCTGAAGTGGGCAGATCACATGAGGTCAGGAGTTTGAGGCCAGCTTGGCCAACATGGTGAAACCCTGTCTCTACCAAAAGTAACAACAACAAAAAATTAGCCAGGCATAGTGGCTCATACCTGTAATCCCAGCTACTCGGGAGGCTGAGGCAGGAGAACTGCTTGAACCCAGGAAGCAGAGGTTGCAGTCAGCCGAGATCACACCACTGCACTCCAGCCTAGGGGACAGAATGATACTTCATCTCAAAAAAAAAAAAAAAAAGAAATACCCAAGATTGCATAATTTATAAATGAAAGAGGTTTAATTGACACACAGTTCTGCATGGCTGGGGAGGCCTCAGAAAATTTACAGTCATGGCGAAAGGCAAAGGAGAAGCAGGCACCTTCTTCACAGGACAGCAAGTTGGAGTGAGTGCAAGCAGGGGAAATGCAAGATGCTTATAAAAGCATCAGATCTCAGGAGAACTCACTATCATGAGAATAGCACAGGGGAGCAGCCCTGTGTTTACCTTTACCTGGTCCCACCCTTGACACATGGGGATTATGGGGATTACAATTCAGGATGAGCTCTGGGTGGGAACACAAAGCCTAACCACATTGTTCCCAGACTAAACCGAAGGTAGGGTTGCTTATTCTCGCAGCCCAGTAATGAGTTGCAGATGAACTGGGAAAAAATAAAGTTTTTATTTCTGTAACCTATTATAAGGAGAAGGCCTGGAAATTATTGCCAGACCAACTCAAAATTACAAACTTTTCCAGAGCTTATATACCTTCTAAGCTGTTTGTCTACATTTAAGTGTGCATTCATCTAAAGACATAAGTGATTAACTTCTCTATGACTAAGATCTGAGTCCTGAAGACCTTCCTCTGGTGCCTCAGTAAACTTACTTAATCTAAATGGGTCCAGGTGCTGGGGTTATTACCCTTATCTTGTCTCCTTCTAAATCACAGAGGTTTGGGGAGTTTCTTTAGAACCCCAATAAACTTGTTCGTGAAGGCTATGGGAGTTTTTTCAGACCCCCCCAAAAAACTTATTTAATCCTAAACGGGTCCTGTAAGAATTCCTTGGTTACCTTGTCATGCTTTAAGGGCCAGGAAAGTCCTGTGCAAAACTCTTTGTGGGCGTTTGTTACACTCCAGCCTGTGTGTAGGGCTGTTGGCCCCACTGGGTCATGGGGTGTCCCTTATGCTGTGCTGAGGCGCTTGATCTGAGAAGTAAAGAGACAGGACAGCCAGGCACGGTGGCTCAAGCCTGTAATCCCAGCACTTTGGGAGGCCGAGGCGGGTGGATCACGAGGTCAAGAGATCAAGACCATCCTGGTCAACACAGTGAAACCCCGTCTCTACTAAAAATACAAAAAATTAGAGGCCGGGCGCGGTGGCTCAAGCCTGTAATCCCAGCACT